GAACCCCAGGATTAACGAAGATATTTTAGCACATTCCATAATATCCTGGAACAGAAAGTCTTGTTCGTTTGCATCTATCTCAGACCTCACTTACACACACACACACACACACACACACACACACACACACACACACACCATGGACACGACACATTCTGCAGATAAATACCACACACCACACACACCACAAACAGGCACAATGCACAGACGCAGTACCCATAGCACAAATATGACGCTCATCACACATACATTGCTCACACATGCATCACACACACCATTTATGCTACACACCAACGCCATACACACACTACACATCATTTTTATTAGCAGAAAAGAAGGTTAATATCATTTTGTTGAAGGGACTGAGAAGGAAGTGGGTGAGCACTAGTATATATACTTATTCCCACAAATGTCAGTTTATTCCAAAGTTAGAAACTAGCTGGTGTCAGAATTTAGAATGCCTTTGTGGCTCAGTTTTTTTAATAAAATGGAATTGATTTCCTACACCTTCATAAACCCTTTCCCTTATCTAACAGACAAACTTTTGATCACAGCAGGCAAGGATGTCCTTTTCTATATGTAGGAAAAAATTCTTGGACAGTCTTCACAGAGCCCTTCTTCCTGAGATTGTGTCTAAGGAAGAGTTGGGTGTATGTAGCTTCATTTTCTTTGCCTCTCCTTTCAAGAGCAGAGAGCTGAACCTCTTATTTTGTTCTGAGTAGCGGCAGGAAAACAGTGTCAGGACACCTTCCTCACCCCCAGGACTCGTAGGCCCGCCCTTTTCCATTTGAGTTTAGTTGGGAGAACAGTTCAGGAATTTCAATTCCAAAAGGTCTGTAACATCTGCTGGTGAAAGAGCTGTCTCACTCAGAAGAGTTCATCATTTTGATCAGCTGTAGTAAAAGGACCCACCCATTTGACTCACACTCAATTAGTGGTGCTCAAAAATATATAAACACTTAGAATTCATCCCTAAATTTTTGTTTGCTTTTTCAAGGGGCAGTGGCAAAAAATGGTGAGAAAGACATCTTCCTCAGCAATGATTTTTCAAGAAGTTGGAAATTTCTAATATCATTCCTGGAATAAGTAAGAGAAAAAATTTGACTTTAAATGTCAGGTTCCAAATTTAGATCATAATTGCTGATCTTGTAGTTCCCTTGAAAACTATTAAGGAAAAGGGTGAGCCACAGATTTCTCCTGAATTCTGCCCGAAATCTATACAGTATTACAGCCGCAGATGACTTCTTGGAAACTTGTATTCTCCGCCCTATCTTGAGTGGTTTTGTTTACATCTTGGCCCAAAAGTTTCCAAATATTGATTGGTGTTTATTTCAGTGGCAACTATGTATGTTTCATGTCTGTCTGCAGCATGTTTGTGGAATGGGAATGTTTATCTCTACAGGGGGTTTCCCAAGCCAAGCAAGAGAACTGGGTAACTTCATCAAAAGACCATGCCCAGCCTCTACCCAACCTCCCAATTTCCTGAATTGGGGTTTAGGATGGTAGGGGATACTATGACTTTGGGGGTTGACACAATATTTTCTTTTTCATATGTAACTAATAGAGTACCAGGTGCTCATAGATAATAAGAGGTAATTGAATGTATGGAATCACACTGTTTGTGCAACTGCGATAAACAGTTAAAATTAAACCTCCCAGGCACTGGCTGATGTGGCTCTGTTGGCTGGAGCATCCTGTATAGGGAAAGGTTGCAGGTTGTATTCCTGGTCAGGGCACATACCTAGGTTGTGGGTTCCGTTCCCAGTTGGGGCGCATATGGGAGGCAAACAATTGATGTTTCTCTCTCACATTGATGTCTCTCTCTCCCTCCCCCTCTCTCTAAAATCAATAAGCATATCCTCAGGTGAGGATTTTTTTTTTTTAAATTAAACCTCTCAGAGCGAATTGTTTTGTTGGAGAATAAGGTTTGTTTCATTTAGAATTTTTTGCTGATTTCATCTGGTAGGATGACTACTTCAATGAAAGAATGTGGGCGTTCTCAGGAGGTCTGGTCATCCACTGTGCATCCTCTGAAATATGTTACTTCTTGCACGATGAAGTAAAAGGGTTTTCTGCTGGGCATTGCTTGCCTTATCCTCACGAAGATTGCTTAAGAGCCAGCCCTGGGAACTGTGTCCACAAGTGTATTAGGAAGAGAGAGTAACCCAGGACGGCCGCTTCTGCAGGTCCACTGGTTAGAGCAGACCCTAAGCACCAGGTTCTTTCTGTTAATGTCTCTTCATTTTTTCTCGCGCGGGGGAGTTTGAAACATGACATTGATGTTCAGAACAGCAGCACACACTTGATCCTGCAGCACCAATGAAGGGGAGGCAGGAAATAAAGCCACTGAGACAGCTGGGTTTTCCTTGCGCGATACAGGTGCAGGGAGAGGCGTTGGGGCTGGGAGCGCGCCCTCCCCGGCGGGGCGGGGCGGGTGGGGTGGGGAGGGGGGAGATGGGGGGCGCTGTCGCTTTAAAAAGGCCGCCATGAGCCGCCCGGCAGTTGGTGCAGCTGGTGTGCGAGTCCCAACGTCACGCTGGCGGCGCGCCAGCCCGGTGCTGCTTCACGGTGTCAAATTGTCCCTCCTTGTTGAATTCCTTTGCCAGCCTACTTTGTGAAAGAAAACATTGGGGTTTCTTTGGCTGTTCTTGATAAGCCTATAAAAAAAAAGTGACATGTTTTAGTTGCTTCTAGGTAGGTTTTTCTTTTTACTCTTCCCCCTTCCCCCCCAAAAAAAGAAAGAAAATATTAATAAGACCGTGTAGGGGGGTGCTACAGAGTATCCCTGTGAGTGTTTTGTTTTTGTGGTGTTCGCTGAGATGCTTAGAAAATGGTGACTCTGTCCACAGTTTGCCACGGCAGTGACAGCCTCCCCGGGCGGGGGCAGCTCCGGCCCCTCCGCGCGGCGGGGGGGCC